ATGTGTCGTGCAAAGCACGGGGGGGGGGGGGAGGAATGAATATTCATTCCAGCCGTGCTCTGTGCTGCTGCAGTGCATCTTGCATCAACAGATGTGACGCTCATATAAAAGGGGCATCCTAACTATCCAGTCCAGATAATTGCCAGTGGGACAGAAAATATCAACGTTAGAAAGCTTTTAAAACTTCACAATATTAAATCAAAGGTCACCCTACCTTTGAACTTATTGGAATTGAACTTATCTCCAGTTGCATTGCATTATTGAGATGCTGTTTTGTGTTTTTCTGTCTGCACCAGAGATTGCAGTTTCAAAAGATGAAGACAGTAGAAGCTGTCAAACGTTATTTCTGAACAGCAGTATTTTAGAGTCCTTAAAATACCTTTTCCTCATTTTCTGTAGCAAAGCACTGTGGTTAGATAGCTTGAAATGAGATTTATAAGTATAATTATTTCAGTTTTATTTTCTTTAAAAAATAGTAACTTTGATTTAATAAATGCTTTCTTTTAAAATGTAGCTTTATGCATTAAATATTTTCAGAGTAGTTTTCAGGTAGGAACTACTAATTGTCTGTGATTAAAAGAATAATTATTTACCTAAAATAACAGCAAGATGTTCATGGAGAGTTTAACACTAAGCTACAGCTCAATAAGCAAGTTAAATGTGATATTTAAAGATGATCTGTTTACAAAATGTAACTGGTTTATTTATAAAATAAAACATAATATTACTGAATATTAATGCTATACAGTACTGCTTATTAACGGTGCTGTTGTAATTGCTGTGTCTTACTGTTGGCTGAGAAAGTGCTAATATCATGGCCTAAGGAAATTGTCTTTGACCATAAATGCATATTATTCTCTGTTGGCTTACAAGAACCTTTTTCTAAAAGTGATGAATATTACCCCAAAGAGCCTATGTTATTTGCCTCAATTGATTCATGTCAGCTTCCCTGAATAGTGATATGCTCATTTCATAGTATATGTTATCCTTTTTCTTAGGTGTCTTAAATCCAGATGCAACTGATTTTGTTCCAAGAGAAAGGCAAATTTTCAGTCCAAGTTGGAGCAATCAGTCCAGGCTGGAATTTGAATGTGATTCAAGCAGAAATTCTTTACCTCCTCCTGTTCAGCCTAGGCACAGTAAATGTGAAGATTCAGTTACAGATCATAATACTTTTTACAGTCTAGAAAGCCAGCATGGATGTCAGCCAGATTCTTCACAATTCCACAGTATAGGTAAAACAAAAAGCAGTAGCTTACACAGCCAGCGGTGGCAAAGATCAAGGAATGATCGAACACATGGGAAAAATCAAATAAAGCAAATAACTGCAGGGAGCACAGATGATTCTCCATGTTTAGGCACTAGATTAGTTGTAGGACGTAGGATGAATCATAGAGAATACAGTGATTTCTCTTCAGACAGTGAAAAAGAAGCTGCTACTGCAAATAACAGAGGAGCAAAGCCCAAGAAGACATATTTGATGCATTCACGTGGAAGAGGATTGAAAGAAAAAGAGAAACATCTACCTGAGAGGGAAAAAAGAATATCAACTAAGTGGAAAGAAAAGGCCTCTGAAAATATACCAGCAGTAGATCTGACCCAGTCAGACTCTTCTGAAACATCTCTTGGAAAAGCAATATCTGATGGTTTCTCTGACAATAGCATTGCAAGAAGAAAATACCCTCTTGCAAACAGACATTTTAGGGAACCTGCATGGAATAAAGAGACTGGCAAAAAACAAGATACATCCAGAAGTAAAAATGCAAAACATGTTAAGAATGCATCCCTTCCGCATCCTCCCAGAGAACGCACCAGTGAGAAGAGGAAAGAATCTGTGCTGCATGAAAGAGGTCCAAATTTAGTGAGTGTGGTAGAGACACAGCCGTTCTGTGAAGCAGCTACACGTGATGGGAGGAAACCACTTCTTCAAGAAGGATATAAAAACAGACGCTGGAAAAAGCAAAACGATGCACCAAAGAACAAAGAAACTCATACAGGTAAATTTAGCAGTTCTTAGTACAGCAGACTTATTACTGTAGACTTAATAAAACCAAGTCATATGGTAGAAAGATGCTTTAGTAAAAAGCTTATGGTATGTAATTTGTGATTGTAATGTTGCAATATGAACCCACTGCAAAAAAGCAAAAACTTCCTTCTTGTAGTATTGTGTAGTATTATGCAAGTTGCCATCTCTTAATATATAAGATTTTATTTCTTTCTTCTGTCCATTCCACCCACTGCCCATGGCCGAAATTGTACATAGCAATCCCCAATTCATTGTAGCAGTTAAGGATACGTACAGGAGAGAAAAAAATCACTTTCACTGGCAAATGCTCTTCTGCCTTTTGAATAATATTGCTGGTTACTTTTTGATTCAGTTCAGGTTTTGAAGTGAATATGATAGTTTATTTGGTTTCAAATAGAGCACTAACAGCTTTTAAAGTGTTCTAGCTGTAGTTGTTGGAGATTTATTAGGAGTTCCTCATGATATCTAAAGAGGTTCTTCACAGTCTCCAGCTTGTAGAAATCTTTGAGTGCATGGTGCAAGACACTCTTTGCTCATGTAAGATTATTGGTGAACCCTAAGAGAGTTAATCTTTGTACAGTGGAGCATGTCTCAAATTTTCTTTAGCACACAAGCATGTAAAGTTCCACAATAACTGAGGCAACAACATAGTTAACACATTGTACCAAGGTATGGTTTGCTTAATTGTTTCTTGCCTAAACCATATTTTCTTGAGTTCATACTTACTGTTAAACCATAAACCATGATTTACAAACCACAGTGTGTGGGTTCACACTTTATTAAGCCATGGTGAGAAGTTTTGGCTTAATCTCTTGTGTGATTGTTGTCAATGTGTTAAGCGTTCTGTCACAGTTGAACATTTTGAAACTAATGAAGAATTTGAGACTGTTATTGTTTATAACAACTTTTTGAAATGCAATATCATTGGGAAGGCTCTGAACTAATATTGTAATGTCAGCAGCTGCGTGAAGTTTTTCATCTTTCTTGTACTGCTGAGCAGCCTGGTGTTCTGTCACTGTCTGATGTTTAATGACAATTATACTCTTACTGCATAACTGAAATAGTGCTTGCAGGAAATCACATTGCTTGCTGCAGTAATAGGAAAAAAAAGTGGATATTTAGATAATGGTACTGTTAGAGCCAGTATTTGAAAGAATGTGTATCTGAGAATAGCATAGTACATGATGCTTTTTAATAGGCTGATGTTTGAAGGGGAGCATCGGAATGATTTGGCTACAATGGGGGCGGATGTTCTATCTAAAAAGATGCCTTTGACATAATGAAGGGGTTATTTCATTGTGTGACTAGCTTTATATGCTAGTTCAGACCAAACAGTCTCCATTACAACATTGTACTTGCGTGAATCCTGCCACTAGATTTGCTACAAATATGCTACGTGAATTGCAAGTAATTAATGTGGTTAGACTTCTGACTTATTTTAGTATCTGGATAAATATTTATATACTAAACTCTCTCCTAGGGTCTCTGATAGAGCAGCTTACCTCAGAAAAATATGAATGTATGGTATGTTGTGAGGTGATCCGTGTGGTAGCCCCAGTTTGGAGCTGTCAGAATTGCTATCATGTTTTCCACTTAAGCTGCATTAAGAAGTGGGCAAGATCTCCAGCAGCACAGACTGAAGGTTAGTATGTCCTCCTGCTAAATGTATTGAGAAATTCATTATACTGGAATCAAACATTCTGGTTTTCTAGATACAGTAAGCTAGATTATTAGAAGAATGCATCAAGTAACTTCATGCACAACAAATTTATTGGTTCAGTACAAATATGACTTTGTTTTCCAATATATTGTTCTTTCAGTATATCAGGTGATCAAGTCTATCCTAAAATAAGTTGGGAAAATTAAATTTTGGGGTGTTTGCTTGTTTTCTAGATGGTAACAGTGGCTGGCGATGCCCTGCATGTCAAAATGTTTCATCTCAAGTTCCTAGTGTTTATACCTGTTTTTGTGGTGAGTGTTTTTTCCAATTAATTTCATAAGCAAAGATCTAGACCCAAGTCTTAAATGCCTGCTCTGTGTAGATATATAGGCTTGGTTTCCATTATTAAGGAAAACGTCCATGCCCTCATCAATTTTACAGCTTCTTGGAACCTCTTTGTAGTCCTTGAACAGTTTGGGATTATTGAAACTCCTCAAGGAATAGGTTATTAGTAGAGTATTTGCAGTATTTGGATCTGAAACAAGTAAAGTTGCTTCAGATTTGGCTTGGCTAGGGTAGTCTTACTGTACCTATCAAGAACCCTTTAAAGGAGCCATGTCTTTTTCTGGGCTTGCGTGGTAATTGTACAGGCTCAGGTTTGTTTTCCTGAGCCTATGCAGCTACTGTACATGCTCTGGAAAAGGCACAGCTCTTTAAGGAGTTGCTTTACAACAGGGTTACTCACTCCTAAAATATGACCCCTGACTTTTCTCCCATTACTTTTCTTGGGTGATTTTAGGATTTGCACCAGAATACTTGATTTTTAAAATTCTACCATCAGACTGTAATCCAATCGTTTGTAGCTGTGAAACAAAGTTTTGTGTGATCACTTATTCTATGTGCCAGCTCTAAGACAAATTAATGTACTTTAGTAGTGAATTGTATTTTTAGGATTTTAGAGATAAAGCTTGGGTATTGTGGATTATGTTTATGAGAAATCCTTTTAAATTTTTGTAAGCTGCTGTACTATTCTGGTATTTTTTACTATAATAGATGTTATCTTCTTATAAATCTAATGCTATCTTTCCTCCAACTGCTTTCCACAACAAAAACTGGAAAGGTTGCCTTAGGAAATATAATATATAAAGTGGTGATATAAAAATAGGGAAAAACAGTCTGTGTATCCCTCTCTTTCTTTTGTGGGCGTACATACATATCTAATTTTCATGTGTCAGTATTGGTGACAGTCTTTATAAAATATGCCGGTCCTGAATAATATGGATGCTGTTGTGTTTCTCATTGCTATATAGCATATTATCACTATGGAAACATTCAGCTCCATCTTTTAAAAAATGTGTGGACTAAAATTAGATACATTTAAGAATCATAGTAAGATACTAATAGTTATGAATGTAATTGTTTTTAGTTCTTTAAGAACTGGAATGTGTATTTTTAAATGTCTGTGATGGAAAAGAGTAAGGATGCATACTATAGGTTAAACTTGTTAGAACCACAAAAGCTGAATTTATTTATTTTATTTATTTATCATATATATATGGCCGCCCATGCCAAAAGATGTATATGGCATATAATACACCTGGCATACAATAAAAAAAATGAAAATTGTAGCTAGACATACAATTTGTTCTGTTTATCATTACTGAAAGGAAATTTATATAGATAAATTAAATGTGGAGTGGGAGAAATAGAGAAGGAAAAATGCTATAAAGTACAAGTACTACAAGGGTATCTGCTAGGCATTTGACCATGTTTACCATCCTCATGCAATTTGAGTTAAATCTATTGTGTTAAAGACTTACACGTATAGCTGATGTGATACAACGTGCTTAGCCATTGTTTGCTAAATTTTACTGAATAAGCTATAATTGGCTGGGTTCACATAATACACTAAACATGGCTTACAATTCACATTATAGCTTACTGTGTTACATGGAACCAGCCTGTGTATATGTGTAGTGATTTGGTTTTTGTGGAAAGTATAACATTTAAATGTTATAAATAAATGTTTCTGGGTTCCTCGTAGGCCGGGTAAAAAATCCTGAATGGAATAGAAATGAAATACCACATAGTTGTGGAGAACTGTGTAGAAAGAAAAGATCAGCTCAAGATTGTCCACATTTATGTAATATGTAAGTGTTGATAATTAAAAAGTTTAAGTCTTTGTATAGCTTGAATATGGGTTTCAGACAACATGGGGAACCACAGTCATCTTATCAATTGGCCCCAAGATTCAAGTTAAAACAACAAATGTGTTCTTGTAATAACCTGGCTTAGCATGTCAACTGCTGTCTACTTACTTTTCATCTGTCCCTTTCTATCCTTTAACTCCTTAAATTTCAGCTCTTTCTGAAACGTCATAATCTCTTGAATACATGAGTCTTGGCAAAGAATCAGTAAATGTATATAAATAATTGCTTGATCATTTTTCATAATGTGCAGAATTTATACTTGCACAGAATTAACACATGTTGGTTCTAAATCAGAAATAAATTAATATAATACACTAATTATACAAATACAAAATATGGGAATATATGTTAGCATGTCTGGGTAACAGTGAAATGAAAATACTGCACATCTTTTCTGTGTGTGTTTGTTTTTTAGACTTTGTCATCCAGGACCTTGCCCATCCTGCCCTGCTTTTATGACCAAAAAATGTGAATGTGGACGCACAAGGTAATGTTAGTCTACATTAGAAAACTTGCAACCTTGTTTTTTATAAGTTATTTTTAAAGCATCATTGGAGAATTACAAATAATTTTGAATTACAAATAATGTTAAGTATAACATGATATCTATTCTTGGGGAATTGGCTTGTTCCTTCTAAGGGTCTAGTCTCCTAGACAACATATAAATATGTCTGTGCAGTTAACGTGTTTTGTGTAGTGCCCTCCCTCGTTTGGGTTCCAACCAGTGCTTTTTAATGGCAGTCAGTCTGTTACCAAAATTGGAATAGTGCTGCTGGAAAAAAAAAATGACTTGAGGAATTCATAGAAAAGGGATTAATATTTAGGATATGGAATTAAACATTTCTTTATGTTTTCTGTAGATACAATGAATAAGTTGTACAGGTTTTACAGTAAAACTACATCAGAAATAGATGGCACCCTTTTCATTATGATTGCCTAGCAATTGCATGATGCCTTTATGATCTACACCACAAATAGCTTCTGTGATTAATTGTGCCCCTGCTGTGTGTGATTTCCATAAAGTAAGAATTTCCAGAAAGTTCACAGTTTAGAAATAATTTTGATAGAACTAAACAAGTGAAGTATAATTTATGAGTTTATCATTAACATTTTCTTTTTTTACATGCTGTTGAGGTGGAAAATGCCAAATTTTGACAATCCTGTTTTTAAAAGTATTGTTCTTAAAATACTTTTTCTTCAGGCTTTGGAGTAAAACTATGCCCTTTCATTCAGACTAAGAAAACTAATATAACAATATTGCAAAGTGATATTCAGGTTTCCAGTGTTATGTTATCTTAGTGTGTAAACAGTATAATGTATAATGTTAAGCATTATTATGGTGCAGAATTCTAGATTAGATGAAACCTGAATTCAGACATCATGATAAGCTATTTCGTGGTTTGTTGGGTTTTGACATAGTATGATGGGTGAACCCAGCTATTGTGATTTATAAACCGTGATTTATTACTTAGGTTCTGTAAATCCAGCCATTACATCTTACTATCCAGGCTGTGGTCCTTACTGCAAGGTGTAAACCCAGTCTAAAATTGCACTGTGCTCTTCCTCATTTCCTCCATGTAAATGAGTAGCATTTATAAATTGAATCCAGGCTTTTTATCACATTAATGGAAAAGCTCCTCCTTTTCATGGAATTAACTAAGATGCAGTGGTTGGAGGGAACAGGATATTCACTGATTGCTCCTTGCCTCTGTGATCCCCACACTACTGTTCATGTGGCTCAGGGTGGTACCCCCAAACCTTGAGGCCAGATCTTCAGGAGGGTTCAGCTGAAAGAAGGGATTTGTAAAAATATGTGCCCCCTTCTGTCCTGGTTTCATGGCTCTCTTGACCAATTGTAAACCTGAAAATTATCCATTGTTCATTATACATGAATTCTGTTATAGTTAGCTCCTATTTTATTTTAGAAAATCACCATATTTCATGTTGATGATAATCCATAAGGCAGTCCTAATATAAAAAACACAGAAAAGATGTGTAGTTCTCTTCTGTAGGTTTAATATCTAGCTTATTTTAGATTGATCCAGTCATGTGTTATTCCAGACTTAAATTGCTATGTCAATGTGTTGATTCCATTGGGACCAAAGAAAAAGAATTTTCAAGTTTTCCATAGTGGCCTGCCAGTTAGGAAAGACAGGCCTTGACAGGCTGAAACAGCAGCTTGAATATGCCATTCCATTGTTTGAGGTGTACAAAGTATTTTCTGTGGCTGAATCTTCCTACTGTGAGTGAGGATCTAATATAATGGTACACTGTTTTTTTAAGATTACTGTACTTCACAAATGATATATCAAATAGAAGTGGGTTAATTCTAGGTATTTTTGTTTGTATTCTGTACGTTTGGTTTGGTTATATTAATATTTAGGCACACAGTTAATCTGAGCTTAATGAGAAATGTGTATCTGAAAGGGAAGAGATACATATTTTCCCCAACCCAATAACTATCAATTAAAAATAGTTTATACCATGTTAAAGACTTAGATTTTATAACATTTTATAAAGTTCACATTTTATAAAGTGTTTCATGGACCAAAGTTAATTGCATGCATGGTTTAGTTTTTATTTTAAGGAGCCAGAAGACTTGTTTCTGCAGCAGCAGACAAACACAGCTACCTTTCTTGAAACTGCTAATTTAAACTTAAATTTTGGATTAAAATGCTGTGTGTGGTTACAACCGTATAATTGTGAAGAATGGATTTGAACTTTCCAATGGTGCAGAAGTGTGTGTTTAACACACTGATGCTATGGTGCGGGAAGAATTTTTCTGTTTAAATAAAGATCCCTGTGGTTTGCATTATTATGAAAATATACTCCCCTTTAATTTAGCAAAACCCTTAACAGAGCAAATATCAAAGTTTTCGGGGAATTTCTTGTCTGCTAATATCAACAGCTTTTTGTAGATAGATAGATAGATAGATAGATAGATAGATAGATAGATAGATAGATAGATAATGATCAGTGGGAATGTAGGTAAAGAGTTCAAGTCTGAATATAGAATTTGCTCAATCATTGCTGATGACTGATTTAGTTTTCTTCTTCTATAGCCATTCAGTTCGCTGTGGGTATTCTACTGCAATTCAATGTACTAATATATGTGGAAATGTTTTGAATTGTGGTAAACATAATTGTACCCAGATATGCCATTCGGGAAAATGCCAACCATGTGAATTGACTGTAAAACAAGGTGAGTGAGGGTTTCATGGGAACTTTTTTAGCTCTTTATAAGTAATACTCATGAGAGATTTACAGAATTACTGTTTATATAGGACCAATAATCTGTTAGGGTTAGGTCTAAGTACGCACTGGTATATATGCATAATGAAGAATATGACACTGGACTCTCCTGTGTCCTTTTACAGTTTGCATTAGAAAATAAAATTGCTGTGGCAGTGGAATGATAATGACATTACTATGTTGAAAAAAAATAGGATATGTAGTGGGCTCAAAATCATTGTCAAAAGAACTGTGTTTTTCTGTTTTATTTCCACATGGTAGTAGTATCTTACTACTGAGTTACCCCTGAAGGCTAAAAAAATCAATTGATTACTAAAAATTCAAATATTATCTTAAGTGTTAGCTGCTCTAGCAATTTCCTATACTGTACTTCTGATAAGTTTGTTTCCATTTTAGTCTTTTTGTACAGATTTTCAGTAACAAAGCACCTTGTGGCACTTAAAGATTAATAAAGTCCTTTAAAACTTAGTCTTTTAGTTTTTTAGTCCATATGCCATAAGACCCTTTGTTTTTGTAGTTTTTGCTGTAATAGATTGCTCTTTGGAAATTATTGCATCTTTAGCAGATGAACAGCACATCCCCAGTAAATTAACATGAGAACTGAATACTATAATACAACTTGTATGAGAAAAAACAAGCCATTACATGGAATGAAGGACTAATTAAATTGATTCAAATCTTCCTAGTCTTTGGGGCTGTATGGTTTTTAGCTAAATTATAGATATAACCTGTGTTTTCTGCTCCACAGTTTATATTTATCTTGTGATTTCAAGTAATATTCTATAAAAGCTCATTAATTAATACCATAATCAGTTGTAGTATCTGTTTAATTACCAAAATTCAAAAGGAAGCAATTTAATGTTTTCCAGTTATTTACTGGAGTAAAGCAACATATGAAATAAATAGAGGTAAGCAAACATAATGCATACTAGTAGCCCAAAGGTTTGTTCAAATAGAACTGAATAGGGCGGCTGCTGTTGAAGACCACCTGGAAGCTACAGTTGGTACAAAATGCAGCAGTGCAAGCATTAACAGGCACCCCTCAGTATGCCCACGTGTCACCACTGTTATGCAGGGTACGTTGGTTGCCATTCAGCTTCTCCGTGCAATTTAAGGTACTGGCTGTTATCTATAAAGCCTTTCATGGTGTAGGGCCTGGATATCTGAGGGAGCACCTATCTCCAGTTGTTTCTGCCCATCCAATACATTCTGACAGAATAGCTGCGCTCCAGGTCTTCTCTATTAAATGTTGTAATCCTATGGGACTGAGGAAGCGTGCCTTCTCTCTTGTGGTCCTTGCCCTCTGGAACAGCAAACCCCCCCCCTGCTGTA